GTTATCTCCTGGACCTGATCCTGCGCTCCACTCAGGACTAAATCGAGAATTGCCTCTCCCCTTGTGGGTCAGCTGGTGCAGGAACCCAAGAAGCAGTCATTTAAGCCATTGAGAAATTTTATCTCTGCTTCTCTTCCTGAGGTGACATATATCCAGTCAATGTGGGGGTAATTAAAATCCCCCATTATTATAGAGTTCTTTATTTTGGTAGCCTCTCTAATCTCCCTTAGCATTTCAATGTCAGTATCACTGTCCTGGTCAGGTGGTCGGTAATATATCCCTACTGCTAATTTCTTATTATTGGAGCATGAAATTACTATCCATAGCGACATGTTGATTCATTTAATATTTTTATTTCATTTGATTCTACATTATCTTTCACATACAGTGCCACTCCGCCACCCACCCGGCCTGCTCTATCCTTTCTATATATTTTATATCCCGGTATGATTGTGTCCCACAGATTTTCCTCATTCCACCAGGTTTCAGTGATGCCTATTATGTCAATCTCCTCATTTAATACGAGGTACTCTAGGTCACCCATCTTATTAGTCAGACTCCTAGCATTTGCTTACAAGCACTTTAAAAATTTGCCACTGCTTATTTGTCTGCCTTTCCCTGATGCACTGGATTCCTTTGTATGCGCTTGTTTGTCTGCTCTGGCCCATGGTTTGCCCTCTCCTCTCTTTCTGACTACAGCTTAGAGAATCTCTATCAATGGATTCTCCTCTAAAAGAAGTCTCCCTCCGATTTACGTGCATCTCCGCACCAATCGTCTTTCCCCCACTTAGTTTAAAAACTGCTCTACAGCCTTTTTAATGTTTAGTGCCAGCAGTCAGGTTCCTAGCGATGAAGTTAGAGCCCAATCCAGAAAACACTTATCTGCTGAACTGTTTTGTTGGATTTAAACCAGAGTGCTCACCACCCTTCAGGAGTAAGACCAGGAGGAAAAACAACTTTACTAATCATTCACTCCTCAGCTAGGAGACAAATATTTAAAAGTTAAGTTATCAGGAAAAGTGTATTCAACTCTGTAAAAAAAAAAAAAAAAAAAAAAATGGAAATCCAACTGTAGATCAAACATCTTGCAATACGTCACTGCAGAAAAAAATCTGTTTCAGAGAGTTAACAACAAAACTGTGAAGCACAGATTTAGCCTTGCAGTACACACTCAATGAAATAAAGTTTCCTTTTGAAAAAACTATACACATTATTAAAACAGTGAACTAACAGTTACAAAATGTAGCACAATATTCAGCTTTATTCCTGTGAATTTATATAAATATTTATTTTACAGGCAAAAGTTTTAAATGTTACCTTTAATCATACTGGAATCAGCAAAACTTTGAACAGATATCTGGTTTTTACTAGGAGCCACCTCCCATCTCGAGAGCACACAGTCACCTTTACCCTATTTAAAAAATACAACAAAATGTGGTTTCTATATTACAAATTCTGGTAGTTGTCAAGTTAATCTAATTCATTAAAGTTTAATAAAAAAAGGCTCGTGGGAAGTTGCAAATCATGATTAGTAACCTATACAGCCTCTTAATTAAGATAAAAGCTTTTAAAAATATCAAAATAGATTTTTTTTCCCTTTCTTATTTTCAGGAAGAAACTATTAGAATTATTTTAAATATTGTTTCCCAATAAAAGAGATTATTTTGGATCTCCCAAAAGCATGGAACATTTACAAACAGCAAGTTCATATCCAAGTAGAACATGGAGCTTAATCCAAAGACCAATCGAAAAACCTGCATTGAAGTTAATGGGTTTTGGATCAAGACCATGGCTAATATGTAGCTATCAGACCACATCAAGCCCTAGTCCAGAAGAGTGCTTCACTATGTCCACAATTAAAAAAAATCAATGGGATTATGCATATACTTAAGCACTTTGCTAGACTGGGACTTCATACTGTACAGAGGCAAGTCTTTAACAGGCCACATCAACAGAAAGATTTTCATTGATTACAGATGACATTAGATTAGGACCTGAGAGAATAAGGATTAGATTATAAATATGAGAATGCATGCAGGTGAACTAAAATCTCAGTCCCGTAAAGTTTGTTTACAGCCATTGTCCTGGCTCAGTGGTCTGTGCTGCTATTTAGCTATAATTTACCGCTCAATGCTTTCTAAGAACCCAGTAACAGTGCATGTGTTGGTAATGCTGCTAGATAGTATTGACCTCTCTTGGTTGAGCAAATTCTCAGGTTTGTCACCAAACAGGTCCCGAGGGTGTTGGGCTAGAGAGATCATAGCAGACTATCCTTATATTAGTGAGAATCTTAATACATCACAATTACAATAATTTGTCTCCATTAAAAAATATATATATA